GATAAAATTATAATTAAGATTAAATATTCAAAATAAGAGAAAAACTAATATTAATATCTGAATCAACATAGAATAAATTTTTTTCTTTATGTTAAAACAAAATAATTAAACTTTTTAATTAATTATTTATCAGGAGAATCTAATTCAATTATATTTTAAATACATCATATGAGTAAAATTCTTATTCATGTTCAAAAAAAAAATCTTAGGGCACATAAATTTATTCCATAAAAAGAGCGTTAGAGCACAAAGTAAAAAGGTTAGTATATTATTAAGAATTAAAATGCTATACAAGTGTTTGAGGAAGCACAATCAAAGTTAAATCCCAAACAAGAACAAGCTTTCAAGACTATATTGTAAAGAGTCAACTCTGGTATAACGGGATTATTCTTTGTAGATGCCCCCGGCGGAATCAAAATAATATTTATATGTCATGCATTACTTGTAAATATCATATCAAGAGGCATGACATTGTTAGCAATAATAGCAAGAGGTGTACCAACAATGATTTTATTGTTAGACCACACGCTTTAGATTTGATATACCATTTCAAACAACTTAAATTACCATCACAAATATATCAAAACAGAGCAATCGTGGTAAATTTATAAGGAAAGCAAAATTGCTAATGTGGGATGAAGCACTTATGGTTAAGTGTCAAGCGATCGAAATAATTGCCCGGAGTTCTAGAGATATATTGCGTATTAATGAACCGTTTGGTTAAAAACTAATAATTTGAGAGGTGATTTATGTCAAGTACTACCAATAGTTCCAAAATCGACAAAAGCAGAGATTGTAAAAGCTAGCTTGCCAAAGTTATACTTCTGGACTCAAACAAAAAAACGATTCAACTAACAAGAAATATAAAGTAAGAACAGATTCAATATTCAATGTTTCTTTCTTCGTGTCGGAAACGAAGAAGAGCATCCAATAAAGATGATTTGTTCTTCCTGAACACTTGGTATCAATCCAATGGTAATAGTAGTGCATTTAATAAGAGTAAAATTTCTATCATTAGATTTTGTGCAAATCGCATNTCCATTGTATATAGGTTAATTTTGAAGAAAAATATGCCCTTCATGCTACTGAAAAACTTAGATACGCCGAATAGCTTATTTAATAGCACACAGATGGTATATAGAAGTTTTGACAATAACGTCATACATGCAAAAATTATGATACTGGTTAATGTGCTTCTAAGTATGTTCTTATCCCTGAATTCAACTTTCGTCTTCCGGAACTAAGGATATCCTTTTAAATTTGTGTAAAAATAATTTTTAGTATGTTTATGTTTTGCAAATATAATACATAAAGAACAAGGACAAACATCCTAAATATTGGGCTATATTTACCGCAATATATTTTCTTGTACAAACAACTGTATGTTGCACTTTCAAGAGGGATATCAAGATCGACAACACGAGTTCTGGTTAAGGCAGAGCAACCAACGTATTAGGAGGAAACATACACAAAAAAATATTGTCTACAAAGAAGTGTTTGTTAAGATACCATCACATTAAATACTATTAATCTATAATATATAATTATCTAACTAACATAACAAAATTGATCATTTGTGTAAGTTTTGATGACGTCCTTTTATTTTAAACTCATGTATTATGCTAATGTAATATTTTCGGCATTTAGATGATTGTTGTATTATTATACAAAAAAATTTATCTCATTAATTAAATTTTATTGTTCCTTCATATAAATAAATGTTTAAATCATCACGTACCATTATTAACGTGCAACGCACGTTCATAGATACTAGTTATAGTAAAACTTGAGTAGGAAGGGTAATATAGTTTCATATAGTGTATAGGAATGTAAAAATCTCTTTAATTTTTAAGTCACGTATTGGCTTTAACATATGGAGCAAAAACTAGCACGGCGTGACCCCAAAGGAGTTGGTGTTGGTGTAATGTCCCCGTTTTTATGATTTTAGCAAAATATTTCCCTTTTTTACTTGAACACTATAGTTCTTTAATTTTTAAAACTTAAAATTCTTGTCTAATGGTGGAAAATAAAAGTTAATGATCGATTATTGTTAAAATCTTTTGAATGTTAATAATTTGCGCTTAACCTTTTAGTTCAAACATAGATTTTCGTGATTCACCGCAAAAATCTCAAAAACTCAATTGTTGGACCTTAGAAAGTATTAAGGAAGACAAATTGGGTCTTTTAATTTGGTGTTATTCGACTAAATTGGTGATTGGATATTATTTATGTTGGTATTTGAAAGTTTTATTTCAAATTTGAGATCATTTAAAGCAGAGATTTTGGGTTGTTTGACCGAAATTAAAGTTGCAAATTCGAAGAAGAGTTTGTTATACAATCCGATAGACTTCGATAAACAAACTCTATCGACCTGGTAGAAAAATCCCTGAAGAGCAGAAGTATGACAATCTGGTGGACTTCAATGAACAACTTAACGTATAGGTAGAGTAATAATAGCATCAACTTTACCGGATTGGTAGAGAAATCCTGAAGAGTAATAGCATGACAATCTGTCAGACTTCGATGAACAATTTAATCCGATAGAAAAACCCCTGAAGAGCAATAGCATGACAAGCCGGTAAACTTTGACGAACAATTTAATCCGATAAAGAAACCCCTGAAGAGATTATACGAGTCCAGAATCATTTTTTAAATACCACAAATTTGGGTAACATTCCACTAAGACCACCCCAAAAAGTCCCTTTGTATCAATCACGCCATATTAAGACTTGAATCCTTTTCAAGCTACATAACTAAAGACAACCCAGAAATATGAGCTTAATGAATATAATCAATACATAAAGTACTTAACGACACAAATAATCTCTAAACAAGCAATCACAATATAATAATATTAGTATATTATTCACTATATAATAATTTATTTATTATTAGTCAGAGTATAAAAATCTTTTATGTTACAACTCACCCACAAATATTTCGTGAGTCAAACGACCTCTACGTGTGCAAATATCTCTAGAATAATGCTACTCCCTCCGTTCCAGTTTATGTGAACCTATTTCTTTTTTTGTCCGTTCCAAAAAGAATGACCATTTTTTAAATTAGGAAACAATTTAGTTTAAAGTTACAATTCTACCCTTAATGAGAAGCTTTTATAACCACACAAATCTGGACCCCTTTTTGACTTGTTTGGGACCACACATTCCAAAAGTTTTATTTTTTCTTAAACTTAGTGCCCAGTCAAATATGTTCAAATAAATTGGAACGAGGAGTACTATTTAAGAGGAAAAAGGAAAAAGGAAAAAGAGAAATTGAAGTACGTACGAAACTTGCGCCGCGAGGAGCCAGTCTGTTGGGGACATTTGGCAAAAGTAGCAAAAGCCAGGTCACCAAGTTGCTAGCTAATTATCTACACCGCTTTTTTGACTGGACCATCTTATAAGATAAACTGTGGACCACATTGTCCCGTAATATATATCCTTCCAACACCATTTTTTTTTCTTGCATTAACAGAATACCCAACTGTAAATTTCCCAAACTACTACTATATCCATATTCATTCTGCCCCATACAATTATTCAATCATTATTAGTAATATATATAAAAAATCTACTAATGAATAAATGTAGACAACGACCTAGCGTGAGAGTTAGAAACTGATTAGACGTGGTAGCTGTCTTATTTCAAGTCGTTCTTATCAATCAATCCTTCATAATTTCTACTATGCCCCTTTCCCTTCTTAGCTGCTGACGCTCTGCACCAGAATCTAGATAGTCAGAACTCAGAAACAGAAACTTTCCCTTTTCAGGTTAGTATACATCTTTTCAAAGTTACTAATATATTTTCAAAACCCTTTTTGAGAATTGAGATCATTAAGCAAGATTGAAGTCCAGAGTCCAAGATTTTAGGAGATTGTGACTATATGGCTTTGAATTATGTGGATTTAAAACTAGTAAGAAAGGGTTTGGACTATACTCGAAAAAATAGGAACTTGGTTGTTGCTTTGGGAGCTCTTGGTGTCACTGGTTATGGTGCTTATAGAGCTTATTGGTCACCTTCTATGGTTAGAAAAAGAGAGAAAATTTTGAAAATTATAGGTGCTTTTGTTTCTTTAGCTGAAATGGTGTCTGATTCAGCTGATGTAATTGGGATTGTCTCTAAAGATCTAAAGGAGTTCATTGCATCTGACTCCGATCAAATTCCTAGAAGTTTGAAACAGATTTCCAAGATTGCAAAGTCAGATGAATTTTCACAATCTGTTGTTAATGTCACAAGTGCGTTGACCGTGGGAGTTGTGAAAGGTTACCAGCAAGAAACCGCGAAAAATGGTGTTTCTGAGGTTGCAAATTCTGGTCTATTTGACCATGTTTTGGATAAGTTGTTTTCTGATGCAGGGTCTGGTTTTGTTTCTGTAATTGTTGGAAGCTTCGCTAGGAATTTGGTTCTTGCATTTTGTTCGGACAAAAAAGGCAATGGTACTGATTCTGAATTTGAATGTTCTGTTCCAGGATGGGTTGATGTTCTATGCCAGGATAAGTGCAGAGAACTAATAGGGAATTGTGTACAATTGTTTGTGAGCACTGCTGTTGCTGTTTATCTTGACAGGACAATGAATGTCAACACATATAATGAAATCTTTTCTGGGTTGACTAATCCCAAACATGAAGCCAAAATGAGAGATATGCTAGTAGCCATATGTAGTGGTGCCATTGGAACTTTTGTCAAAACTTCTCATCAAGTTTTGACAAGTACTGACATGGATATGGATGATACCACTTCAAAAATGTATTCTTCTTCTTTGCCACTTAGTTTCAAAGCCAAACAATTTTTGGATGAAGAACAGAACATGTACGATGGGTGGACAAATAAAGTATCTTATACTTTGGCAGTACCAAGGAATAAGAGGTTTATTCTTGATTTGACTGGGAGAGTGACCTTTGAGAGTGTTAGATCTTTTCTGGAGTTTCTGCTGGAAAAGTTGCTCGAGTGTTTGAGAAAAAGCATAGATGTTGTTCAAGAGGAGGTGAAGTATTTGAGAAGAAGTGTAGATGTTATACAAGAGGAGGTGGTTGATACGAGTGCTGAAGCTTACAGGTATGTGAGTGGGAAGTCTTCTACTGCTGTTAGTGTATGCCTCACTTTGTGTTTGCACATACTCAATGGTCCTTGGATCTTGGTTCCAAATTAAAGTTTTAGTATAGAATCTTGGGAAGGTACTTTTACCATTTGTAAAACTTCCTATTACATTCTTTCGTTAAGGGAATATTGGTTGGTCTAAGTGTACATAGTTGCTCTGTACTTGATTGATTGATTGTATTTTAGTAATTCAAGTTGTCAAAGTGAATGTAAATTTGAATGTATTTTTTCCCCTCTCTCCTGGCTATGGTTCTTTTCCTTATCTTCCTTCAGTTGAAGTGATCATGGCTCAGGTAAGAAAAGAAATTTTTTAGGAGCTACTTAATTTAGCTATGCCTTACAACTAATGATCATAGCATCTTTGCTTTGAGAAAACAGAGGAATTAACTTTTACTTAGCTAATAAGAGAGAACCCTCAACCGCTGGAGTAGCTCTTTTGCTCGTGGAGGTATCTGTAAGACTACAATCTGATTAAAATATGCACTGCCCATTGTCAAGTCTTGTCTCTTCTCACACTTCAGGCCAACAATTCAAGATGTTAATAACTATTGTCAGTTGCTCCTATATATAAGTCAGTGCTAAAAAGTTAAAAATGAATCAAAGAATAGCTTGTGACTAATGGCATCTGCCATAATCAACAACATTATTGGCAGTAAAGAATCTTATGAGCTCCTGAATTTGTTTCAAAATGCATATTTAGTCATTGGCAATTTTATTAGCACAAGACACAGGAAGCGCTAGAAAGTTTATTATCCCTTGTTTTAGACCTACAGGTTTATTATCATTGAACCCAAACCAACAAAATAGGCAGCAAAAATACTGTACACTTCAGGAGGTCTCATTTAACCGAAATATTGATGAATGAGAAATCCGTTTAAGCAAACTCCATTTGTGGCATTGCTAAAGATTTGTGATATTCAGAATTGTAAGTTCATTCCATACGCATTAGAGATCAGACTGTGCAGGTGCATAACATAATAAACTCCTTAACCAAAAAAAAAAAAAAAAAATGAGACGTACCCTTGTGCCATTCTTCAAAATTAAAAATGAATCAATATGTTTCATGATATCAATTCAGTCATCACCATGCTTTCTAAGATGATCAATTTGGTTCTCCATCCAAATACTTTAAGAGGACGACTTTCAAGTTTCAGGCTGCATCAGTCAGATGCACTAAGCAAGAAGAGAAGGGGAAGAAATAAATGAGACGTAAAGTAACATAAAGCCAAATTTATCCAAATTGTCATGTAATATGTCTCCCGAGCTGTATTGCCCAGTGGTAGCTTTTGCATATCTATTTTGACAAGAAAAGAAGTGGATAAGTTTGATGGGTAGTCTCATAGAAGCAACTGAGGGGTGGAATTTCAAAAGCATGGTGTCATTAACTATTTGGATATGGATGTGGATGTGGATGCACAAAGCATTTCTGAAGAGTAACTGCCAACAGAAAAATACAATGGTATTCAGCTTAGATGGGCGCCCAATCAAACACTATGAGGTGCTTCCATCATTTTCTTTTGCTGCTGGTTCTTCCTGAAGTTTCTTCTTCCAATATTCATCAAGTGGTTGTGCAAATATAGCTTTCCCAGATACAACTCCAATTCTACAGATTGGCCAAGTAAAAGATCAGGCTAATGGAAGTAAGAACATAATGCAAGTAAAAGGTGCTAAATTTTTCGCTGTAGTCTAGAGGACATTAGTTGTAACTTCTGAGCTCCAAGGTATAACTTCACAATGCAGATGCCAAAGCCTTATCAGCAACTGCTATGTTCAAGAAAGGCATAAAGCTGGTATACTGGAAGAATACACTATATTTAATCTCCCATAATTGTTACTTCTATTATGAACAACTTACTCCAGAAATTTTACTTAGGTTCCAACAAAGTCATCGCATGCACATTCTCATTAATCAGCTTAGCATTTTTTTCTTTTTAGGGGATAATCATGGCTTACAAAAACCAAGCTGAGAAAAGGGCAGAATTCATCAAAAGGTAATGATTCAAGAAAAGGCAGGCACCACTACTTTCAAGAGATTAGAATGTTAAAAAGTACCAGTAGAAGTACCAGTACAACAATTACCAGGGAGAAGAGGAATAGAAAGGCATATGCAGCAGTTATTTGCTAGTGCTACAAGGGAGTACTAACAAATTCACAGTTAAGGTATCTTGAAGGGCTAAAAGAGGCAGCACTACCTCTTAAGAAACATAAGACATCCTTCTCTCTAGCAAGGCCCCACAAAATCAATTATGTTGTCAAAGAAAGAGGAAAATGAAACTCGAAGTTTGACAAATTTAATGATATCCATTCAGGTTGAGTATATAAGTACCTTGGCCTTCTTAGATTAATGTTCATTGAAGGTTCAACGGATAAGAGCTAAATACTACTGCAGTTATGCACTTACATCTGGTGTCTATGTGAAAGGATATATTTCCTTTTTTATCTGATAATTAGATGAAACAAAAGCAAATGCTCCCTTACTCATCTCTGAGTATAAGACGTAGATGCACAGTGCAGTACTATGGATGCGGTAGCTTGGGCAGTGGCAGTGCTCTATAAATGATTCTTTTATTTTTTCTTTGATAAACTCCTTCTCTGTATCTAACTTGTCAATATGTCAAAATACACATTAATAAATACACCACAGAAGCAAAAATGCATACTTGGCAACCATACACCAATTATATAAAAAATCACATCGTCACACTGTCTGACAACCATAGCAGCAGAAACTTGTCAAAAGGTACACATACCAGGAGCTAGGAAGACAAAGGTGTAAAAGTGAGAAGGAAAACAGGTTTTTCTTTCACTTTTCTTCTTTTTTTCTCTCTATTTTATTTGGCGGGGAGCTTGATATAGAGGATGTTCCCCAACTCACTTTCAGCCATTAGTCAAAGGAATTCATTGATTCAGTGATAGGGATCCCGCTGTGTATAAGGAAGGAGGAACCAGAAATTGTCTCATACTCCTTATTGTCGATCCCCAAAAATGCTTAGATATTTCATTCAGGTTTTAGGCTCAACTTTAGTTGCTCTAAAGGATAGATTGCGAGCACCTATCAAGTTGATGTATCTTCAGCTTTCTAGAAGTACAGAATTTTGTCTAGGCAGGTGAAGCAAGCTAAGCACAGACTTAGATTGTTGGAGGAACAAGAGGAATTGCAAATATCAAGGGAAAGCGAACAGCACACTAGATTTAGTACAGATCAAAAATGGCCTCTATAAGACACTACTTTGAGACTTGAAACTATACAACACCTGAAGCAATCCGTAAATAACAGACACTAACAATTGAACAACCAAGAATAGGAATTCTTTATAATTTAATCATTAGATGAAGGGAAACCTCTCTATATCTTGCGCATTAATGAAAACATTAGTATGACATTTCTTCGAGCACGTTATCTTCAATTGATGATCATGAAAAACTGGAACTTCCAGCTTATGGGCTTTTTCTGGGTTTGCCTCTTTGATGTTCTTGGTAGGGGAAGAGGGCAGTTTCATTTAGACATTTCTTCAAACACCTTTCACGATTTAAGAAAACCTAGAACACGAAGTATAATGGGATTTTTTGTGCTGGTTTTCCTGTTTGTTGTTTGAAGAGCGGTACAGGGCAGTATCCTTGAGAGAGTATAAATTCATACTGATGCATATCAGCTTTTAATCTTAAGCAAAACTAGTATGGAGGAAGCCGGAAGGGTAATAAAAAAACTTACATAACAGCGCCAATTACCAGCGGAAACGACAAAAATCTTCTCCTTCCGAACATCTTTGCAGTGCTTTTCTCTCTGTTTAGTAATTTCGCAAAGAGATCGGAGCTATCAGCTATCGGCTGGCGGAGCTAATGTTTTGGTCAATTACATTCACGTCTGTGTTCCTTCAGAAATTCCCTTCTATTTGATTTAGAGATTGTTTGGATAATATAAGTTGGTCCCGCTTATCAGTCATAAGTTGTTGATCACTTCCAACATTTTACTTCGAATTTGACCAAAATATTTATTACTAATGTATCTCTAACATTTTAATAATTCATAAAATACAATTCTCAAAACAAATACTTTTATACATTGTTCCTCTTTCTCCTTGTAAAAATATTTTAAATTTATAATTATTATAAATAAATTTAAGGGTAGCCTGTAGGCATATAAATTTTACTTAAAATTAAATCTATAAAATAATTTGGACTATATATTAAATTCAACATATATTAGTCCAAATAAATATTATGGGCTAATATATAAATGAATTAATTATATAAGTCCAATACATATGGGTTAAATAACTAAGTCTTAATCCATTGGGCTAGCCCATTTAATTTGGCTAAAGTGATGAGCCCACTTCATCAAGCCCAAGATGTAATCTTCCTAGAGGCCCAGTTTGGTGCCACGTGTCAAATGACGTGGCGCGCCAAGTCAAGCGGAAGAACCAATAGGATCATGCCAAGTGTCAAAATGACAAAGCATGCCTAGTCACACTGAAAGGCCAATGAAATCGTGCCACGTGTGCAAGTGACATGTTCTGGCCAATCAAATGCGGCCATGTCACACTTCAATTTGATTGGACGGAAAGAGTTTGTTCTTATCATGACTCCTCCCTTCCACAACTATAAATAGGGGTCTTCATAACTCAGAAAAGACACCAGAAGTTATAACAAGAAGCAAGAGAGAGCTCATGGATCAAACGCCGCAAATTTCTCTACAAGTTTCAAGCTTCAAGCAATCAAGTTCAAGCTCAAGAACGAAGAACAAATCAAGGTCAAGTTCAAGCAATCAAGCTAAAGCTCAAGAACAAGATCATCGTTCGTGGCGACAACTATATATTCAAGATCAAGCTTAAAGGCCCTTGAATTTATTTACTGTTGAAAAGAAGAATCAGAGGATTCATAGAGATTGTACACTCAAAATATTCGAAATAAAATACTACGATTGTTGCGATATTTTCGGTCTTGATTATTTATTTTTCTCGACGCAAATTTATTGTCTACAAATTCTAGCACGCCCAGTGGGACAATCTCTACCTCTCATCTCAAATTTTCAATCACCAAAGTCCGAGAACA